GGTAGATTTTTCAAGTGTGGTAAAATCTCATAACAGCAAAATTGCATAACAGCCGAGCATACACCCAGCAGCGCTGCTGATGCCTGAACAGTATGTGGAATGAAGTGGGCGGGCATCGGGAGGCCACTATGGCACAGGGCAAGCACTATGGGCAGTCTATCTGAAGTGTACCTGGCGTATAAGACGACCCCCCACTTGGAGGCATATTTTTCAGGGCCAAAAAATCGTCTTATACGCCGGCAAATACGGTAAGTAATTATTCCAAAGGTGCATAAGATAAGCATCTAAAAGGGGAAACAGACATCAAATAAGTCCTCATAAGAGAGATAAGTGTCATGAGATATAAGCCAGGAACTAAAGCCTAATTTAAATCTCCTTCCATCACCATTTATCCCCTTTTACCTGAGTCTACCTCCGCCCACCCCCTTTCCCTCTGGCAATCACCATAATGTGGTCTGTGTCTATGAGTTTGTGGGGGTTTTTTTGCTTTAATCCCTTCACCTTTTGTACCTAGTCCCTCAACCCCCCTCCCAGTCTGTTCTCTGTATCTATTAGTCTGTTTCTATTTTGTTTATTAGTTCATTTTGTTCATTAGATTCCACATATAAGTGAAGTCATGTGGTACTTGTCTTTCTCTTAGCATAATACTCTCCAGGTCCATCCATGCTGTCACAAAAGGTAAGATTCCCTTCTTTTTTATGGCTGAGTAGTATTCCACTGTATAAATGTATCACAGCTTTTTAACCAGTTAACTACCACACATCCAAAACGGAAACCATCCCTACATGCCAAAATATTTTGAATTAAAAAAAAATCAATTTGTAATGAATAGTATAAAAATAAATATATTACTCACAATTTGGGTGTTCTTGAATATTTTCAGCTGAAAATTCTCATGAAAAATGATTTTAAAATTGGTCAGGGCTGCCACTTAGGGAAAACATTTTTTTTATAGACATGCGTGGCATGTGGGGAAAGTCCACTGCTTGTGTCTACAGATGCTTATGGCGTACAATGGGTTAAAAAACCTACACATGGTTAATAAATTATTCCCTTAGTTGTTTGTATGTATTGTTTTGCTAAAATTGTTATAGTAAATCATTTGAATAGGTCTAAACTTTTCAGAACATCATTACAAAAGTGTTGCTAAAGCAATATAACCCATCTTCTCTACATAATACAATGGAAACATCATCTACAAGACGCCCGGTACATGAAATTCATGCGTGGGTACTGTCCCTAGGCCTGGCCTGCAATCAGAGCTATCTTCCCCAGCTACCCACAGCTGGTCCTGCTCCCCGCCGCCATCCATCCCTGGTTCCCTGTTCGCCATCAGGTGATTGGTGCCTGACGGCAGGGCGAAGGGACCGAGAGGTCAGCTGTTCCCGCCTGCTTGCCAGCCCCGCCCCCACCATGGGTGGCCATCAGGTGATCAGAGCCTGCCGGCCAGGGAAAGGTACCAAGAAGTGGTCAGTGCACCTCAGACTGACTGGTCCAGCGGTCATTCTGGTCATTCTGCCATTAGGGTCAATTTGCATATTACCCTATTATTATATAGGATACACAATGAGTTTGAAAACTAAAAACCCCATGTATTTGAACTATTTATCAAGGCCCTGCCAGGAACAGATACAGCTCTCCTGATACTTAAGAGACTGAACATTTCATAATGCGATGCTTTATGAATTTGAAATAGATTAGCAAAACATTTTTTCTTCTTTTGCCAAGACTAGAATGTGCTGTCCAAATCCATGCTAAAGTATCATGAGAAGCAAAACACATATTTTTCTTTTCTTTTTTGCTCTACTCAGAAACAGTTCCTTGCAAAGAAAATGTGGAGAACCACAACCCTTAAGTAATCAAGATGAGCTCTTG